CAGGCAATAACAATTTTACTCAGGTTCAGATTCCTGCTCTAGGGGTGTAAAAAGGACAGAAATGCTCTGAAATGATACATCTGGGGAAAGCTGGTCAAGAAAGGCAAAACATCCCCTGGACCAGTGCAATGAGAAAACCAAGCAGTGAATACTGATTTACAGATAGCAGGGGCTTAGGTCATCTACCAACAGACCTTCCCATTGCTATATCACCTGGTTTCCCACCTGCAGGTGAACAGCATAGGATTAAATATTGGTTGTAAAACACAAACCCAAAATAGTAGCAGGCTTAAAAACATAGAAATTAATCTTCCTCACAAAAATCTATGCAGACCAACAGCTTCATGCTCCTTCTGTATTGTTACTCTATCACCTTCACTTCAGCCTGTCTCAAAGCATAAGGCAGCTGCTCTGGCTGCATCCATCATCTATATTCTAGGCCACAGACAAGGAAAGTGCATCACCTACCTCCAAAGACACCTTATGCAACACAGGCATAGTATGTTCATATCCCAAAATCTAAAGTAGCAACTCTTGGCCAGGTAAGAGCAAGGAGACTGAGAAATCTAATCCTAGTCTCAAACTAAAAATTAGGAGTTAGTGTAGGAGGGGAAAGTGGGTACTGGTGGCATCTGGACGTTTCCATTTCAAGTGGCAAGTCTCTTTTACATAACATACATAAACCAGTCCAGACACTCATTTCCTCAGTGACTCTTCCTTCTCAGGACTCTACTTACTCCAAGGAATCACCAACATTAAATCTTGAACAATCTAAGCCGGCGTTGGTGGTGCATGCCTTTAATCCCAGCACTCGGGAGGCAGAGGCAGGCAAATATCTATGAGTTCGAGGCCAGCCTGGTCAATACAGTGAGTGCCAGGATAGGCTCCAAAGCTACACAGAGAAACCCTGTCTCAAAAAAAAAAAAAAAAAAAAAAACCTTGAGACAATCTGCCTGATACCCCCCACTGGAAGAAATGCATAATTCCCCATTTACACTTGTGGTCTGAAATGTAAGTGTGAGCCTCTAAAGACAATACAGTGGGGCTTTTGTTTTTAGGAAAAAGGTGTTGGTGTGGAGGTGTTACTGAAGGCAGAAACTGTGGCCTTGCACATCCTAAGCAAACGACCACCGAGTTACATCTCCACCCTTCCTAAAGACTCTGCCTACGGCACATGACCATGTTGGCCATTCCCAACATGATTCTTCTTCAGGTCTTAGAAAAAGACAGAAGCAAGTTCCTCTGAGGCTGTGTGGGGGCACAAAGGCTGCTAATAGCCAGGCTTCCTATCTTGAGGGAAGAGCACTGCTGGAGGAGTGATGCGGACACAAACAGGAGGGTAAGGACTGACTGTGGGCAATGCATGAGCTCCTGAAGCCCAGCCACCTTTCACCTTCCCAAAGTTGCATGCCATAACTTGGCTGGTATCTTGTCCAGTTATATTTTTTTATTTAAATTTTTTTCATTTTACATACCAACCCCAGTTCCTCCTCCCTCTTGTCCAGTTTTTTAAAACTACTTTAAGTAGTTTTTGGTTCTTCAAACAGGGTTTCCCTGTGTAGGCCTGTCTTGTCCTGGAATTTAACTCTGTAGACCAGGCTGGCCTGGAACTCACAGATTCACCTGCCTCTGTCTCTGCTTCCCAAGAAATGGGATTAAAGAAGTATGCCACACTAACTGGCTTAATACTTTTATTTTTTTGAGAGAAGCTGGCTTTGAACTCAGGATCCTCCTGTCTCTGTCTCTGAAGACCTGGGTCTATAAACAGATATTTGCCTATAAAAAGATTGTGGGTTCTGCTCATTTTTCTCTTTCACTTTATCTCTTTGGAAGTAAGCTCCTGGTATCGTCAAATAAAAAGAAGTCCTGATCACCACATGGAGAAAAGCTTCTCAGAAGAGAAGGTCAGCAGTGATGGTGCCCCCTGTAATCCCAGCACAGGGAGGCAGAAAACTGGAATAAGAATGTGAGCCAGGTGTTGGTGGCGCTCGCCTTTAATCCCAGCACTCGGGAGGCAGAGGCAGGTGGATCTCTGTGAGTTCAAGACCAGCCTGGTCTACAAGAGCTAGTTCCAGGACAGTCTCCAATAGCCAAAGAGGAAACCCTGTCTCGAAAAACAAAAAAAAACAAAAAAAACAAAAAAAAAAAAAAAAAAAGAGTAAGTGTGTATGACCCCATGTCAACTAGCAGGAAGGAGAACCAGGATTAAAAGCGTGCTGTTTGGAGGATGTTAGCATGCTTGCCTAGCATGCACAAAGCCCCTAGTTTGTTTCCCAGCACCACAGAATGAGAAAGTAGGAGGGAGTGGGGGAAAGAAGGAAGGAAAAGAAAGAAGAATGCTGGACGAATGGCTTGGCAGTTAAGAGCACTGGCTGCTCTTGCAGGGGACCTGGGTTCAATTCCCAGCAACTACATGGCAGCTCACAGTCTGTAACTCCAGTCCCAGGGGATCTGATGCCACTTTCTGGCCTCTGCAGCCACCAGGCACACACGATGCACAGACATGCATGCAGTCAAAACATCCATACACACACTCCAAATGAAGTTGTAAAAAAGCACACAGCTTTGTGTCATAGCTCTGCCACCCTTTCCCATTTCCTCCTCCTCTTTACTATGTGAGGATTAAATCACTAATATACACAAAGAACAGTGCCTAGGGCTAAGTAACTTTGTGTGTTCAGGTGTGTGTAGGGGCTAGAAGACAACCTCAGGCTTTGTTCCTCAAGAGCCATCCACCCTGTTTATTCTTTTTAAAACAGCATCTCCCAGTAGCTAGAATGGCGGCCAGTGAGTCCCAGGCATCCGCCTGTCTTTATCTCCCTAGTGCTAGGATTATAAATATGTGCCACCACTTTAAGCTTTAAAAACAAACAAACAAATGACAACAAAAACAAACAAACATGGGTTTTGAGCATCAAACCCAGGTCCTCCTGCTTGTGTGACAAACACTTCACCAACTAAGCTCTCTCCCTAAGCCCCATGGTAACTGTGACCCAGGGCCAAATAGCTGCCACAGAAAACAGACAGTGGACTGTTCCGGTAAAGTTGGGAATGGGCTGGGTGGGGCCCTGAGTCCTATCTACCTGTTTACCTCTATTACCACCAGGTTAGATGTCTTACCTACCCAGTCCTAAGTCCCTGGGACTTGAGTGAAGCACTTTTGATAGATAAGCCTCAGAGGGCCTGTTGAAAGCCTGTCTCCTGAATACTACAATAAAAAATGAGTTGACAGCAACTGACTAGCTTAAAGGGATTCTAACACATAGAATCACTCTCAGCTTCATCAAATATAAATGCTGACAAGCCACAAGTCTTTTCTTTCTCATACAACAAAAAATAAACACTATATACAGTCGTGTATACCTATAATTCAAGAACTCAGGAGGCAAAGGATGACAAGTTCAAGACCAGCCTAGGCTGTATAGCAAGACTGTGTTGGGGACAGTAAGCCACACCTGATAGAGGCTGGCTACAGGTGTGCCTGACCACGCCTGTCAAGGCGTGGTCAAGGTGAGGTCAAAATGACCTGGGATAGATTCTTAAGGAACAGCGAGCACATAGGAAGGCCCCAGCTCCCTGGCCTCGATGCTCGGCTGCCTTGGGCATGCTCTGGCTTGTGTTTGGCTGGTATTTATCTCAATAAAGATATCTTGACCATACGGACTACGGATCGTCTCCCGTGGTCACGTAATAAGACTGTCCAAAAGAAGGACACACACAGGTGAACAGACAGAGGAGAGAGAAAGAACATTCCAAATAACATATAACATACAAACTGATATTTAAAGCAATGGAGGAGCTGGAGAGATGGCTTAGCAGGTAAGAGCCCTGATTGCCCTTCTAGAGGAGGCAGCACCCACATGACAGCTCATAACTCTCTCGTTCCAGTTCCAAGGGTAAATGGTGTCCTCCTCGGGCCTCCATGAGCACAGCATTCACACAGTACACAGGCATACATGTAAGCAAAACACTCATATACAAGATAAAAATAAATAACATAAAACTATTAAAAAAAAAACAACAACAACAAAACAATGGAAGTGGAAGTCCACAGAATCAACAGGAATAGCCTCAAAGGAAACCTAGAGCTCAGAGGGTATGGTTAACAGATGTTGCCAGGGGGCTTCACTCCTACTTTACACACTCCAACTACTCTGTGCCTTTCTAAGCCATGGTTTTGAACTGGTTTCAGGCAGAGACTAAGTTGCCACTGGGTTCTTAACAGTCTGGAGACTTGTTTGGGGGCAAGATCATCCACATACTAATCATAGAGCCCATCTTAGAATAGCACCTTGATGCCAGGTGGTGGTGGCGCACACCTTTAATCCTGGCACTCAGGAGGCAGAGGCAGGTGGATCTCTGTGAGTTCGAGGCCATCAAGGTCTCCAGAGAGAGTGCCAGGATAGACTCCAAAGCTACACACAGAAACCCTGTCTCGAAAAACAAACAAAATAATAGCACCTTGAAGCCAGGCATGGTGGCACTTGCCGTTAGTCCCAGAAAATGGGAGGTAGAGGCAGGCAGATCTCAGGTCTACATAGTGAATTTCAGGACAGCCAGGGCTACACAGTGAGGTCCTGTCTCAAAAAAAAAAAAAAAAAAAAGAAAAGAAGAATGTCACCTTGAAACCAAGGCCTGTGGCTGGGGAGGAGCAGTGGGGGATGAGGACAGGCCTTTAAACCAACAATCCAGTCAGATGTTCTGAAATTAAGCTAAAGCAAGGCACTCTGTGGATGGTCCATGTGCCAAACTTCTACCCAACATTCCTACAAAGATGATTCTGGTTTTACATCTACAAACTGAGATCACAAGGTCATGAATCTGAAAACTAGGGTACCCTACAAACTGGGAAATAGCGCAGATGAAGGCGCTCTTCCCAGCCCAGAAAGTACCTGAATGTCAAGAGCTGGTAACCACTGGGCAGGAAGGCCTCTCTCCTAAAAAGGCAGCTGCTGCACACCACAACCATAAAGAGCCAAATGAGAAAGCAGGAACTCTACTTCAGGTTGCAAAGACAGTACTTTTTCATTCAGAACCGATGGAGAAGTAGGGAAAGTGACATTTGGCCAGTTGCCTCTGGCAGCCCGGAAGAAACAAGCAGCTTCTGTTCAAGACAGGGCAGAGCTGTGAAGCTGCACTTCAGGTCAGCATAGCCACTCTCTACCGCACTTCATTCATCAAGGGCAAAGTCTGAAGAGTGCAGTCGCTGTGTCTCTTGGCAGATGTATTGCTCCACCATGTCACACTCAGCTAGGAACACCTACAAGACAGACACAGGCAGTGAAATTCGAGGCCCTCCTAGGACAAGCCAACCACTGCCCATTCAAGGTTCTTTATTCAGCCATTCTGGGGAACCTGCAGATTAGACTCTAAACAGGTTGTGCAGGGATGGACATGGACTCCCAAGTTGAGGGGGGCAGGGATAGTGAAATATTGGGCCAAGTTCTGACTATGCCCTAAGCCAACGACCTCCAAAAGGGGGCACTAGACACACCATTGGCCCTTACTGGAACTTTGCTAGCCCTATCTCCTCTCCAGTGAACTTGTCCAAACTGATTATATCGCATACACAGGGGCAAGAATCCCTTTCTTGGGTCCATGCTAATAAATAAACAATAACAATAGACCATGCCTCTTAGCACAGTTCTACACTACCCTGTTTTGAGCAGATATACACACACACACCAAACACACTAAATATATTACAGCCTGTCATGTATTACCATATAACTCACTCACCTGAACCTTTTTTACCAAATTCTTCCTTTTTAGCCTGCTGTCTTTAAAATCTTCTGGTAGTACCTATGGGAGAAACAGTTCACACCAAACAATTGACATCCGTAATGACAATGACAAAAGACATTGGAAATCCACACAATACATTCACAGGTCACCAGTATAAGTAAGATGTGCACTTTCAGGCATCATTTCTCCCGGTGTGCATCCTATGTGGCTCCCTTCATGGCTCTCATTCCTATGAATGCTCCCTCCCTTTGTTGCAATGTCTGGAGTGTAACCTGATCTGAAACACAGATTTTGTTTTTTCACTGTGCCAAACATATGGATACTAATAAGCCAGGAAAAGTACCTTCCATTGTTTGTTTGTGTGTGTGTGTGTGGAAGGGGGTTGTTTGTTTGTTTAGTTGGTTTTGAGACAGGATTTCTCTGCATATTCCTGACTGTCCTGGCACTCATGATGAAGACCAGGATGGCCTTGAACTCACAGAGATGCACCTGCCTCTGCCTCCTGAGTGCTGAGATTAAAGGCCTGTGCCACCACCACCTGGCTGGTTTGTTCTTTTCTAACCCCTCAGTCACAACAGAATTAAACCCAGAGAAATTCACTCTCAAGAATGAAGCATGAAGCTAGAGATACCCTTACAGTCATCTGTTAAAGAAAACTTGGGTCAGCAATTCGACAGTCTCCCAAGATCTGGCTGTGGTTAAAGAAGAAATGTGGTGGTATAGAAGAAATAAACTTCCTTAACCACAAGATCATAAACTTGTTGGGTTCCAGGTCCATGACCACACACACACACACACACACACACACACACACCATACATATTACAGAAGCCTCTGTGTTGTTGGGCTGTGAATGCCTACAGGTCAGAAACTCCACACACTCACCCAATAACCTAGCATGCTAACCTAGTTTCCTCCCTATTGCTGTGAGAAAATGCCCTGATCAATTGGGGAAGAAACCTGAAGCAAAAAACATGGATGAATGCTGCTTGCTGGCTCACACTTGGCTTTCTTTTTAAGGTTTATTTATTTTAATTTTATGGGTGGTTTACCTACAGGTATATCTATACCATATGCATGCCTGACACCTGAAGAGGCCAGAAGAGGACACTGGATCCCCTGGAACTAGAGTTAAAAATAGTTGTGAGCCACTGTGTAGGTGCTGGGAATCAAACCTAGGTTGTCTGGAAGAGCAACCAGTACTCTTAACCAATGAACCATCTCTCCAGCTCAAAGCTAGCTAGCTTTCTTACACAGCCCTGGACCATCTGTCTAGGGATGATGCAACACATAATGGGCTATATCAATTACCAAAACAACCTCACCCCCCACAGTGCCCATAGACCACCCTAATCTTGGTAATCCCTCAACAGAGAGGCACTTCACAGGTAATCTCCAGACTGTGTTGACCATTAAAGCTAACTAGAACACACAGCACCTGGCACACAATAGTAAATGCTTAACATTCCCAAGTAACAGATTTTCACAGGCAACAGACGTGTAATACTGATAGACAGAAATGAACTGAAATGCCGTCATTAAAAACTAGTATCTCTGAGCGGAATATTTACTTACCATTGTGTCAATCTCCTCCAAGATCTTCATGAACTGCTCAATTGTGGCCTTTACTTTCCTATCAAGTTTGTAAAGAACCTCTGCTTCAACTTCCTTAGCCAGAAAACCCTGTGAAGGAGTAAGATACTATTGCAAGTGTTTCTTTTCTTTATCTTTTTTTTCTTTTTTCTTTTTTTTTTTTCTTTTTGGTTTTTCAAGACAGGGTTTCTCTGTGTAGCTTTAGAGCCTATCCTGGCACTCGCTCTGGAGATCAGGCTGGCCTTGAAATCACAGAGATCTACCTGCCTCTGCCTCCTGAGTGCTGGGATTAAAGGCGTGAACCACCAACACCCCGGCTTTTTTTTTTCTTTTTAAAGATTTATTTATTATGAATACAGTTTCTGCCTGAATGCAGGCCAGAAGAGGTCACCAGATCTCATTACAGATGGCTGTGAGCCACCATGTGGTTGCTGGAAATTATATTCAGGACCTCTGGAGGAACATCCAGGGCTCTTAACCACTGAGCCATCTCTCCAGCCATGCCTTAAGTGTTTCTTAAGACTCGTGGAAAAACCATGCCACTGGTGAAGTGACCCAGAGTTTACCATTGCTCTAATAAGCCAGCTTGAATCTCAGACCTTCAACCCTTGGGAAAATTAGAAATGCTGCTACCAGGCTGCAGACTGCTCTTTCTCTTATGGTCTACTGGGGCTCTGAATGCCACTGAAGCCTAACTATAGTGTAGCCTTCAGTCATAAGTGTACACGTGCACATAAGAGACAGACAGATACAAGAGAATAGACTTAAATGCTGGGCACCTTGGCACAATATGTGGGCATCAAAGGTTGACATGAGGTGCATTTGTCAAACACTTTCTGTTTGGTGGTTTGAATAGGAATGGCCCCATCAGCTCATATATTTGGATATTCAGGGATTAGGAGGTGTGGCCTTGTGGGAGGAAGTGTATTACTGGGCTTTGGATTTTCAAATGCTCAAGTCAGGCCCAATGTCTCTCTCTTCCTGCAGCCTACAGATTCAGAAGTAGAACTCTCAGCTATTTCTCCAGCACCACATCTGCCTGCAAGCCGCCATGCTTCCTGCTATGATAACAATGGACTATACCTCTGAACTGTAAGCCAGCCCCAATTAAATGCTTTTCTTTTTAAGTGTTGCCATGGTCATGGTGTCTCTTCACAACAATAGGACACTGACTAGGATACTCCGCCTTAGCCGGGTGTTGGTGGTGCACACCTTTAATCCCAGCATTTGGGAGGCAGAGGTAGGCAGATCTCTGTCACTTCGAGGCCAGCCTGTTCTACAGAGCTAGGACTGTTAAGCCAGGATAGCTAGGGCTGTTACACAGAGAAATCCTGTGTCCCAGAAAAAAAAAAAAAAAAAGGATACTCTGCCTTATTTTTATTTTTTGAGACAGAAATATTACTGAATCTGAAGCCACCCAATTTGGCTAGACTGCTTGGCAAGTAAGTTGAATGAATACTCTTGTCTTTGCCTCCTAGCACTGGAGTTACTGAATGTGCCATCACACCAAGTTTCTACATGGATGCTGGACCCAGGTCCTGGTGCTGTGCAGCAAGCACTTTACCAACTGAGCCATATCCCCAACTTTTGCTTAAGATCTAAAAAAAGTTACTTAAACTTTCCATGTCTCACTGCTTGCAGATTATGGGATGCTGAGGGAAGATATGTAGATGCTCACATAACTTATGGCACAGATAGATTCATATAGTAACAGAGGATGACTGTTCATTTTAGTTTTGTTTTGAGACAGGGTCTCCTGTAGTATAAGCTGGTCTCCAACTCAATGCTCACTCAGTCAATGCTGCCCTTGAGCTCCTGATCCCCCGCCTTCCTCCACCTCAGAAGAGCTCGGATTACAGGCGTTTGAAATGACACCTGGCTCAAGCAGCAATTATTTTTATTAAACCACCTTGCTGTTTATTGACATCTCTAAGCCTAATGATCAGTTATCTGGTGGCTGAGTGGAAAAGCAGGAATTTCTGAGGATGGCTATCAAAACAGTGATAAATAGTTTACAACACATAGCAAGAAGTTCAAAAAATTACTCAGAAATCCAAACTCAGTCCTATCAAAACCAATCACAACTGTTCAAAAATGATTCATGTCTAAGTGCATTCAAAGAAGCATCCCATGTAACAGAAAAAATTATTAGGTAAAACGACAGAGAATAGAAACTAGGTTAGGTAAACCATGATGTGCAATAAAATATGACCATTTTCAATGATACAAGAAAATGTTAATTTTTTAATCATTAAAAGAAAAATTTGCCAAACGTGTATCATATTGAAATTTTGATAATAAGATAAAAATATTTTTCAGAGTAATAGCATCTCTGAATCACAAGTGCATACTTGCATGTAATAAGCAGCAGTAAGAACATAGAGTTTAGGATGTGATAGGCCTTGCTTTGAATCTTTATCTGTATGTACATTTAAAACTCATATAAGCACTAAATTATCATCTCTTTTTTTCTTTTCTTTTTGTTTTTTTTGCTTGTTTGTTTTTTTTGTTTTTTGGGGATTTTTTTTGTTGTTGTTATTTTGAGACAGGGTTCCTCTGTGTAGCTCTGGCTGTCTTGGAACTCACTCTGTAGACCAAGCTGGTCTCAAACTCAGAAATCTGCCTGCCTCTGCCTCTCAAGTCCTGGGATTAAAGATGTGGTCACCACTGCCCAGCACAAATCAATTTTATAATTAAAGCACAAAACAGGACTGGAGAGATGGCTCAGTGATTAAGAGCATATATTGCTCTTCTAGAAGACCCGAGTTGTGTTCCCAGCACCCACATGGAGGCTCAGAACTTCATGTGACTCCAGCTCTGGGAGAATCGGAACCCTCTGGCCTCTCTGGCCACCAGCACTCACATGCACAAAATCCCACACAGACACATAATACATAATTTTAAAATGAAATCAATCTTTTTTTAAAAAGACAACCAGGTAACAGTACCATACCACTAAATCCACAGAATCCTTATAGATAAGTCACCTGCTGAATGTCAGAAAGCTCTTTATTAAGCTCTTCCAGGTGGTCAGCTGTCTTCTCTACAGATACCTCCAGGTCTTTCAGCTTCTTTAACTCAGGCTCTTCCTCAGGATTGTTCTAAGAATGAAAAAAGAGGTCAGTAACCACAAAGGCCAGCTGCCTGTGTCAGAAGAAACTCTGACAGAACTGGACTCAGCCACTCACTGAGGAGGACTGACCCAACCACTAATGCTTCTTGGAAAGCATGTCAAAGGATTAGACAATTTCCTGTCTACAAAGCCTAGTCCAGAGAATAGGAAGACGAGTGGCACCCTGATGACCTATGCTCAGAGAATGGAGCAAATCCAAGTGTCAGGTTCAGCCTCTGCCTTGGTCTGATGCCAACAGTCAGACTAGAGTGTAATCAAGGACTAGAGAGCACTCACTACTCTTCTAGAGAACCTGGGTTCAGGTCCCAGCATCCACAGGGTGATTTACAATCTTTTCTAACTCCAGTTCCGGACAATTCAGCCCCTCTTATGGCTTCCATGGGCAACAGACATGCACATAGTACACACACACACACACACACACACACACACACACACACACAAATGCAGGCAAAACACTCATATACATAAATTAGGTTAAATAAATCTTTAGAAAAGAAATAGTAGTGTAAGCAAGTTCAAGTGGATGTCACTAGAGAGTCCAGAATGTAAATAAAGACAAGCAGAATTCAACTAGTCCTTTGTTTTGTTTTGAGACAAGATCTCACTATCTAGTCTTGAATTCCTTCCTCCCATCTCAGTTTCCTAAATGTTGGGATTAGATAATATATTAGCATGCCCAGCAGTATGACAAAACCCCCCCCCCCACACACACACACATACACACATCCCAGGCAGTGTCTCGAATTACCTAGGGTGGCCTCAAACTTACTATGTAATGGGGGATTATCTTGAATTCCCCATCCAGCTGCCTCTACCTTCCCCATGCTAGTACTACAGGCACGTGCCACCATGTTCAGTTTATGCCTACTTTACTATTAAACATGATGGTAACAGCTGGGCAGTGGTAGCGCACGCCTTTAACACTTGGGAGGCAGAGGCAGGGGGATCTCTGTGAGTTCAAGACCAGCCTGGTTTATAAGAGCTAGTTCCAGGACAGCCTCCAAAGCCACAGAGAAATCCTGTCTTGAAAAACCAACCAAACAAACAAAATGATGGTAACAATGATAATACTTTTATTGAACACTCCTTATATGCCAGCTACTATGCTTAGCATGTTACCTGTGCTATGTTTTGTTTGTTTTTTGTTTTGTTTTTAAGCTTTACCACAATCCTAAGAGGAACCTTTATTACAGATAATGGAAACTGGGGCTTAATGCAGTAAAGTGACCTAAGATACCAATGCCCAAAGGGAACGTACTAGAATCCAGATGCAGCTCCCTGCTCTTACCCAACGCCAACAGAACTATTATAGTTTCTTCAAACTGAGACCACGGGTGCTGCCTGCTGCCCACACTGTTCTCCCCAACCCTTCAGCAAGACATTTAGAACATTCTCCTTTCTCTCACCCTCAGCTGGCAGCCAGGGTCAGCAGCTGCCTGCTCTGTTACACTCCCCTAAACTGTTCATTCTTCTCTGTGGCCAAATCTAAAGCCCAGTCCTCTGGAGGCTCCGAATCAAGATTTGACTCTCATTGCTCCCACTTAGCTCATCATCCCTGCCTTCAGTCTTCTTAGCCCCCTCTAAGTGAGAAACCTTCTGAAGTGCAGTAATGCCACTGTGTCACAATGCAGGGCTGGGCACAGTATCCATCACGGCAGGAGCCACAGACAACCCTCACCTGTCACCAACTAACTTTTTTTTTTGCCCCCTCAGTTCTTCAGTCTGAACCTTCCCACTCAAAGAGGATTTTCTCCTTGTAGAATTCAGTAAGAAGGGCAGTTAAAGGGAGGCAGATTCCTAAAACCTGAACAAGAGTTCTTGTGTGTAGTAGTATCTATAGCTCTAACAAAAAGCTCTCCTGTAAATTCTACTTAAAGCCTGTTCCTGAAACATTTAAACTACACTGAAGATTGACCAAACACAAAAGCCACACCACTGAAGTAGCACAATGGTTCCTAATTCTTAGAGTGAAATGCCTAATCAACAGGGTAAAAATGCACAAATAATACAACCAAACAGACCAAGTTTAAGGAGGCATGTCACCAATGCTGAATCTGCATAAACAATGTGGTCTTTTTTTTTTTTTTTTCAAGACAGGGTTTTTTCTGTGTAGCCCTGGCTATGCTGAAACTCAGTATGGAGACCAGACTGGCCTTGAACACAGAGATCAACCTGCCTCTGCCTCCCAAGTGCTGGGATTAAAGGTGTACACCAGTACCTCCTGGCCAATTTGGCCTTCTATACAGAACTGTGTATGAAAGACTATAGTCATTCAATTCTGAAGAATTTTGACAGAAAAAGCAATTTACCTTTTCTCCAATTAACATGACTCGGCAACCATTTTGTATTCCAAGTGCTGACAATGGTGTCTCCATTTCTTTTAGAGATTTTCCTGAAAAAAACAAATGCATGCCAAATTGTAAAATCTGTACTTCGCTGAAAATAGTCTTTGGCAAATGTACATGAAAAAGAGGTGGAGTTAAAGCCCCACCATTAGCTGTGGATCTATTCGAATTTAATGGCTGTGGGAAAGAGACAATTTTCTTTAAGTTTGTGACCCCTGATAGGTCCACCTCACTCCAGGGCAAGCCCCATATCCATGAGTATTTGGGCAATACTAATTGGACTCAAAAAGTCCGGGAGGGTGCAAGCAAGGAAGTGAGTGTGATCAAATATATTGTGTGAAAAATTCGTGCACGCCTTAAATCCCAGCACTCAGAAGGCAGAGATAGGCAGATCTCTGTGAGTTCGAGGCCAGCCTGGTCTACAGAGCAAGTTCCAGGACAGTCAAGGTTACAAAGAGAAACACTGTCTTGAAAAACCACAAAAAAAAAAAAAAGATAGAAAAGAAAATTTCATATAAAACTAATAAAACATTATTTAAAAACAGAAATACACATCTAATCTAAAAAGAGGGTCCTGAGAGATGGCTCAATGGTTAAGAGCAGTGGTTGCCTTCTAGAGGACCCAGAAAACTGGGCATTGTGGTGCACTCCTACTCTGAGCATTCAGGAGGCAAAGGCAAGCAGATTTCTGTGAGTTTAAGTCTAGACCAAGATCCAGGGCAGCACAAACCAGATAATGATTAGTATAATTCACATAATACATATATTTCTTTAAAAATTTTTATTACTGGGCTGGAGAGATGGCTCAGAGGTTAAGAGCACTGACTGCTCTTCCAGAGGTCCTGAGTTCAATTCCCAGCAACCACATGGTGGCTCCCAACAACCTATAATAGGATCTGATGCCCTCTTCTGACATGCAGGTATACATGTAGAGCATTCATAAAAATAGATAGATAGATAGATAGATAGATAGATAGATAGATAGATAGATAATTTTATTACTGTTTTATGTATATAGGTATTTTGCCTGAATGTATGCTTGTGTATCATATGTATGCCTGGTGCCAGTGGAGGTGAGATCCCCTGGAACTGGAGTTACTAATTTAGAGCCTCTATGCAGATGCTGAGAACTGAACCTAGGTCCTTTGGAAAAAGAGCCAGTGCTCTTAACTGCAAAGCCATCTCTTCAGCCCCTAAAGGTTTTGTTTTAAGTGTTATTTTTATTCTTATTTCTTTGTTTTAAGATAGGGTTTTTCTCTATGTAACAGCTCTGGCTGGCCTGGAACCAACAGAGATCCAACTGTCTCTGCCTCCCGAGTGCTAGGATTAAAGGCAAGTGCCACCATAGCCTGGTGGTTTTATTTTTAATTATGTGGATCTGTGTGAGTGTGTGGGTATGTGCATTTCTCTTCTTCTCAGGATACTTCAATGGATGCTGGTAAATTCAGCATTATAAAAAAGAAAATGTGGGGGGAGTGGGAAATGTGTAAAATGAAAAAGAACCTTTTAAACAGATAAAACATTTAAAAGAAAATGTAAACTACATGGGCTGAGGATAGGGCTTAGTGGTTTGGTACATGCCTAGTATTTATCATTGAACAGCAATACCATTAAAACAGTAATAAGGAGCTTTATCCAGGGAACATTTTCTTCTTTGTCCTTTCTGTTTTGAAAACTGGTCTTTTCTTTTTATTCTCTGCCCTTCTCCTTCCCCTCCCACCCCCCCACCTTTTCACAGAGAATCTGACTATATAACCCAGGTATATAGCTGAAATGAGTCTCCAGATTATTGGGGTTATAGGTTGTGCTACTGTGTCCAACTTTGAAAGAAAAGTTTCTATTGTCTTTATAATTCAGAAATTAAGTTATTTAAAAAGAAAAAGACGTGGTTGTACATATCACATGGCCAGTTCCAAGACAGCTTGGGCTAGAAGAAACTATCACTCTCCCACCAAGAAAAAGACAAAAGCTCTATACTATGAAATATAAATAAAAATGCTTCCTTTTACTATAGTCAAAAGTTTTACCCCTGCCATAATGTTCATTATTAAATTCTTTACAATGACCGAAACCTAATGAGATAAATCTGGCCCTATCATGTACCAAAATAATGGGTTCCTATGAGAGTGGGAAGGCAGAGGATAGGGAGTGGTGGGGAAGAGCTAGTGCCTCAAAAATCAGCATCAGCATCATCCAACACACTCTGCCCAGCATGATGTCAAATACTGGCAACAGCAGGATCTCTGCTGTCATACTAACAGAAATCGGACATTAGGCAACTAAGGTAACATTACTTAATAGTATCTTCGATACAATCATCCAGAACATATAATGGGAAAAGGATCTAGCCTAGCCAGAGAAGACTGTCCCTATGTTCCCTCAAAAAAAAAATTGACATTTCTGTCATGTTACTCTAAACCTGATACTCATCTAGATGTTTGCAAAGTCTTATTGTAAGCAGGACCTTAATAAATATCTGTTGAATAAATGAAAAAAAAAAAAAAAAAAACAGTTCTGGTTTGAAAACTGAAAGATGGGAACTGGAGAGATAGCTCAGTGGTTAAGAGCATTTGTTACTCTTACAAGAGCACCAGGGTTCAGGTACCAGCACCCACATGGTAACTCACAACCATCTGCAACTCCAGTTCCACAGAAGCTGACATGCTCTGCTGGCCTTCGTGGGCACTGCACAAACATGGTACACAGACATGTGTGCAGGCAAAACACCCATGCACATAATACACACATAGAAAACTGAAAGTCACCATTAGGTAGGACTAAGCAATTTAGTCTGACCTTGGTGGGTGGGGGGTGGGAGGCACAAGCCTTTAATCCCAGCACTCAAGAGGCCAGCCAGGACTACACAGAGAAATCCTGTCTCAGAAAACCAAAATAAACAAACAAATACATAAATGAAATCTGTCCTTCAGCCATAACTACTCAAAAATGAATGACAAACACCTACCCTTAAATATGAGCTTCTGAAAAGGTACCGGAACCCCTGTGGCCTCTTCAACAAGCTCAGCTAGGTCTTGGACAATTGGTTCACTATGATCCTGCTGTGGGGTAACAAGAAGTTCATATCGATCATTGCCTGGAGAAAAAGAACAGTTCAATGAACATAACTCACATAAACCTAAAAATAAGCTGATGCTTTCTTATGGAGTTGAGGATTGAATTCAGTACCTTGGGTTTGTTGGGAAGCGTTTTACTACTGAGCTATGTCCCCACATAGAGTCACACTTGCTTTCAAGGCATAGCTCATATGATACCTATTACAAAGCTTTCCTTTGGTGACCTTCTCAAAAATTTGTTTCCTCTAACATTTAAAAAAACTAATGATAGCTAACATTTTATGTAAGCATATGTAATGAGCTATACAAGACTTGTTCCACACAGCGTCTTAAAACCCCAGGACAACACCATAAAGCAGGTATCAGTTTAATTAAGACTTGTTTGGGGAAACCTTCAACTGGCAGAGTCAGAATCTGCCCTTAAATCCAGCTGATTCCAAAGTCCACATTTTCCATCACAAGCTGCCTTTATCCTATGGTCTGACTGCCCTATTGTCTTTATGGTACTGGTCTTCTCTCCTCTGATTCACCAGCAAGGGACTGTTTTCCTCCACATCTTTCTTACTAGGCACACCTAAGTACACCATAATTAGTGCTTAGTAAAGACAAAGAATGAATCCATTTTCTAAAACACAGGTGGCCAATTCTTTTCTAAGTAGGTGGAGTGCTTATTAGACCGCTCTCCCAACTGATCCAGGGTCAGAAGGAGCCCTAGTAGCCATCTGTGCTTGAAAGATCAGAAATCAGAAGCCTTAAAAAAAGAAACATCCATTTCAAGGTCACTTAAAGCTGGACGCAGAATCATGGTTTCCAGATGGCAAAGTATGTGGGTCTATCTGGTACTAAGGAAACCTCACGGATTCAGCTTTCTCCAGTGTTTGGTTCTGTGTTAATTTCACCAGGTGTCCAGAAAGCAACTCTTGGACCCCCCCCCACCCCCCCCCCCCCCCACCCATTGAAGGCGCGGTTCTGTGACATCCAGTACAGAAAGTACTCAGCAAGCGATTAACAGCCCAACCACATACCAAGTTCAGACTCGCTATAAAAGTTCCACACACAAAATGTCCAAATACAAGACTGACACAAGACTATGTTTACTGGCGGCACACACTCAACTAAGCTTCCAAAATAGAGGATCTACTAAATGTCCAGGGACAAAACACACTGGCCACACGGAAAGATGTCCTGACACCTGCCCCAGGCCAAAAATCATCCCCCACGGACATAGCCAAGAATCCATGCCAAACCCACAGACCCCAACCCCAGCCCTGGAGCCCACTGTGGTGCTCACTGTGGGTGACGGTCACATTGAGCACTGCTTTTTCC